CTCTACGCCGGTGTGCAAGCCGCCGGGCGGGTCATGCTCAGCGGTGGCGTTAGCGGCGTGGCAGCTCGCGTCTGCACCCATCCCTTTGACACAATCAAGTCGCGGCAGCAGGTGGCGGGAAGCCTGGACGGCGGTGTGCGCCGCCTCGCGCGCGCCTCCATGCCAACGGCTCTGCTCTCTGTGCTCCGCGACGAGGGCGTCGCGGGCCTGTATCGAGGCTTTGGCGCAGTCGCGTTCGGCGTCCCGTTTGCTAGCGCCTTTTACTTTGGAGGGTACGAGTGGAGCAAGGCTCTCCTCGGCGAGGGCACCGCAGCGTACATCTGCGCGGGACTGCTCGGCCAGAGTGCGGCCGGCCTGGTGTACACTCCGGTGGACGTCATCAAGGAGCGGCTGCAGGTTCAGAGCCTGGTGGGGAGGCAGGGCTACCGGTACGCCTCGGCACTCGACGGGCTGCGGAGCGTCGTGCGCGCCGAGGGCGCGGCGGGGCTGATGCGCGGGTACTGGGCCAACAACGCAACGTGGTGGCCGTGGAACGTGGCCTACTTCCTCGCGTACGAGTGCGGCCGCGGCGGTGGAAGAGGCTGTGCCCGGACGCGTGTCCTCGGACCCTCGGCCCTCTTCCTCCGAATAGGCACGGGCGCGACCTCGTGGCGCGTCACGCGGGCGTCGCCGACAAGGCGCAGCTTCCGCCCGCGACCTCGTCCGCGTGCGCCTGCGCCGCCGCCGCTGCGGCGACGCTGCTCACCTCGCCCGCGGACCTCGTCAAGACGCGGCTGCAGACGGCGGTCGGAGAGAGGCGCGGTGCGGCGGCGATCGCGGCGGACCTGTACCGCGCCGAAGGTGCGCGCGCCTTTTTTGCGGGGGCGCCGGCTCGCGTGCTCGCCATCGCGCCCGGGAGTGCCATCTCCTTCTTCCTCTACGAGGTCGCCAAGCGGCTCGCGGCCCCCACTTGCACTGGCGAGCTCCCGCAGCTGGAGAGGATGAAGCGAGCGCGGTCGGAAGTCTGACATTTCGAGAGACATTGACAAGACACAAAGTCAACCAAAAAAAAGCGCCCTCGTCGATCTGTGCGAGACGAGAGGTGGAGCAGGACGAGTTGCGGAGATCAGCAGGAGGATGTACCTCGAAGAGATTAGGAGCAGCAGGGACCCGAGGGGGACCAGGTGGAAGACGGCTAGTGCTAGTCCCCCATCGGGAGAACGACCCCGGCTAAAGGGGATGTGGACCGTGAGTTGAGGAAATCGGAGGACGCGACCCACTTCGCCACAGACGGTGTCCCGCGCCTCGCCGCTATGACGGCGACACGGCCGCAGCTCGTGTGCGTGTCGCTTGTCCGGAGTGAATACTCCAACGCGCTCGTCGGTGACGGTGTCCTCCAACCTGCGCCGCGCTCGGCGAACCTCGACAGCGCCTTCGATGGCATGCAGCTCTTTGCGCCTGAAGCTTGGAGAGCAGCTCCTCTGCTGCTCACACGCTCTGCACAGACGGCACAGCCTACTGTGCGGCTGCCACAGCTGTGACAGCGATGGGCTCGCCCTCACTGGCCCTCAGTCACTTGTGCTGCGGCTTGTGTGAGCGACACTGCTCGGCGACTCGCCGGCACACTGTGAGACCATGGGTCTGAGGTTAAACCACGCTACCAGCGCTTGATCACATCGGCCCCGCGGGCACGCTGCCGGCGTGGGAGGCGCGCAGCCGGCGAGTGCGCGAGGCGAG